CCTGCCAAAAGCAAGGCGGGGAGGGTCCCTCCGCTCGTCCCGGGCTGGACCACCGCGGGGGCCCTGCCGGTAAGCCGGGATGGAGGGTGCCGAGCCCCTTTCGGCGCGCTCCGAGGGGTTTCCCGCAAGGATCGGCTCTGCAGACCCCTCCTCTATCCTCGGCATCTCCAGGCGGCCGGACAGAGCGGGGCACGGTGCTGGCAAAAGAAAGAGCTTGAAGGCTTCACAACCGTAAAAATAATAAATACAACGTCTTCCTCCTGCACTGCATCGAACGAGCGTGCTGGCCCTCCTCGGGCCCGGCCCTTCCTCCGTCCGTCCCAGAGAGATCGCTGCTCCTCGGCGTCGGTCACTGCAGGGTCCCAAAGGGCTTGTCATGGAAACAGTCACGAGAAAGGCGAGTGTCCTGGGGTCTGCCACACCGGGCTGCGGGGGGAAAGCTGTCCCGCTCCCTACTGCAGCAGCGCAGGGAGCAATGAAAGGGGATGCTGGAACGGCCCGGGGGGCCCTATGCAGACCCGCCCGTGGTGGAGCTGGGCCCCTCTCTCCATTGCTGCTGGGGATGCTCAGCGCTCCAGGGACATCTCCTCCTCTTGGCCAGGCTGGTTGTCCCCACGCTCCAGCTCGTGGGCAGCCCGGCCGGGGACACAAACCATCTGAGGCAAGTGAGATGTTTCAAGGCATCAATGCTGGGACCAGCGTTGGAGACGCGGCCTCCCCGGCCACCCCGGGCTCCCTCCCACCCCCAGGGGTGTGGGCTCAGCCATGCCAACGCAGCCGGAAGAGCTCGGTGAGCTGCTGCCCATGGGACCCGCTACCTGCATGCACGGACACCGGTCCACGTGGGTGCGTGTGAGCCTCCCTCGCTGCGGCTAAGCGCCGCTCCTTTTCTGCGTGGGGAGGTCCTGGATTTCCATCCCCCGGGGTCAGAGGTTAAAGCTGGCTTCTTCCTTGTGTCCCAAACCCTGGAGCCAAACCTGACTGCTGGAATGAGGTGGATCTGCCCACCCCAGGGGCTCTGCCAAGGGATGGATCTGCCCCTTTCATGCTCTCTGCCAAGGGATGGATCTTCTCCTGTTGGATGCTCTGCCAAGGGACGGATCTGCTGACCCCTGCTGCTCTGCAAGGGATGGTGCAAAAGGGTGGATCTGCCCACCCCGTGTGCTCGGCAAGGGGATGGGACCACGGACGCCCTGCTCCGTATCTTGCACCAGAGAAGGACACGGCCCTCACCTCTCCACCACCCAAGTGGCAACAGACGTGACCTCAGATCTCAGCCCATAGACTAACCCCGCGGGTGCTGGCTGGAGGCGACCCCACCGCGGCCCTGCACTTGCCTTCTTGAGCTGTTTGAGGTTGCTGGAGCGGATGGCCGCCAGGAGCTGGTCCCGCG